ATAATATGTTTTTTCTTTAGTGAATAGTGAAAAGTGTCACGAGGAATTTCATTACTGGTTGGAGTGGTTTAAAAAGCTTGCTGCTGCTTTAAGAAGCCAGATTTACATATTTCATGTTTAAAAGATTTACAATATGTCTCACATGCCTGTATAGAAAGATGGAGCTTTCATTATAGGTTTAATGTCACTGTGATACAAGGATACTTCCTCCGCCTCGGTCTGCGCGGCTGGTCGCAAGTGACTGGTGTGTTCCTGGTTGACTAAGCTGTAGGGGTGTTTTCGTATTCAAGGAGATGCATTTTTAAATAATAAAAGTAAGCTTTTGCATCACTCTGTAGAGAAATCCACAGACAGCAATCCTGGAGGAAGATCAAGGACTGGAGCATCTTTCCAGGCTTCTGGTTATTTTCTATCGTGCACTGGGGAAGGAGGGAGAGGATTGTTGACTTTAATTGTGAAGGTTAAGCGCTTGGTATTGAAAAGCCGAACCGGAGGAAGGCTCAGAGGGCCAAATTCTGCCCTCAGTAGCTGCGTTGCAGCCTCGGCACGGTCGCTGTTGAAGGCTGTTCCATGCTCTAATAGACAGGGATATTTCACCCTTAGGAAGTGTCTCCTCACCGGTGTGTGATGCAGAACACGAGCTAATGGAAGATGCAGCTCAAGTGCTACATGATAATTGGGCACTTGGGGATGTGCCGTGACATGTTGGGCAAATGTTTTCTGCGAGGTCCCACTGTAGCACAGGTGGGAATCTCTAATGGTCCGTTGAACGCTGCGCACATGTTTCCTCGGTGCCGAGACATGGTTATTTCTCAGCTGGTTTCACAGAGCGATCGCTGTGGCTGGGGGCAGGATCCACCTCGGAGCGATGGGAGCTGCATCCCTGGATGCCGGAGGATGGGGGTTAAACAAGGGGGCTGTCAGAAGAAAAGGTGACTAACTACTGGCCAAAACTGGTCCTTCCTGAAGGTGTAAACCCTTCTGGTTTCAAGGTCTGTGCAGTTCCTTGAATAAATGAACACAACTCTTTTCACGCTTTTCTTACATGGGGCTGGAGGAACACGCTGTCAGTCCAGGGAGGTGCAGGACTGGGTCCTGTCCTGGTTGGGCACGATGGCATTTCCTTTGTTTCGCTTTGGCTTTTGCCAGTCTTTTTTTTTTTCTTCAGGTCTGTGATGAGATGGGGGGGGGCGAAATAAGCAATCTAGGCTGTTTCTGAGATTTTTAAACTTCTTTGTTTTAAGATGGCATGGGATTACTGTCTGGTAGCTCATATGAAGTTTCTCAGTCATCTGAAATTTGATTTTCTGTAACTTGCTGTTGTGTTTGTTTCTTAAGAAAGAAAGTCTCTAACACTTCAATAAATGTTACCTGAATTTTAGCATTCTGATGACACTGAAGTCATAATTTATGTTAAATATGTAGATGGCAATGGATATGTATGTATGTGTAGGCAGTATACTCCCACATATATTTACAAACTATGGATTTAAATATAACTTGAATTGACTCATGTAAGTAATTTTAAAAATTACTACGGAAAGAAAATATTCATCTTAAATATGTTTCCATTGATGTTGTAGTTCTCCTGGTTAAGAGGAAGCTGTGGTTTTCTGCAAATCCTTGCTTTTAGAGCTTTTCTTGTCCAAAACCGAATTCTTTTTTTTCCTCTGAGGATGTTATGTCCTTTCTTTGACCAAGCCAGTGAAAAGTTCCGTTAATGCAAGCAGGATCAGAGCTCACTGCGTATGCTTATTGCTGAATTAATAAATATCTGGGAAAATAAATAGTTATGATGCAAGCGATGAAATTGCCTTATACACCAGAAGATTAGATTTAGCACAAATAAAGCGTCTGTTTGCCCCACATCCCAGCAGCATTCAAGCTCATCGTTTTGACTGTGTGATTTCATATCTGTGCTCACTGGAAGATGGAAAGGGTTTTCATTTCAATAGTGAAGTCAATAATTATGGAGGTTATAATTTTCATGCTCAGAAATTCATGCCATTTTCATAAATCATTCATTTCATTTCATAAATCATGCTTTACAGCTGCAGAATGGAAACTTATTGCTGGACATTGATGAAAATCTTGTTTCAGTCACTCAGGTAAGGTTGTGACACTAAAAATGTTTTAAGGAAATATAGATGAAATCACCTATAGGAATAGTGCAATTTGAAAATGTTCGGCTTGGGATTAACTTCACTGGAACGTAGCTAATATCAGATGTGAAAAATTTAAATAAGCAAAAGGGGTGAAATCAGTTCTATAGAGACAGGGAAATCACAAAAATAAAAGATAACTATTTGGTGTCTAAAATCTCATATGCTGCAAGTGGATAAAACTACGTCTATGTCAGAGAAGTTGCATTCATTTATTCAGGCTGAGAACTGGGCTGTAGGAATAAACTAGGTACAGAATCCAGAGCTGAACCATTTGGGACTTTAAAATCCCACCTCCCAGTGTTGCTGTTTAAGACTCTCTCTAGTAAGTAAACAACGAAGTTGTGTTCCCACGAAATTTCTATTTACATCCTCTGATGTAGTTCTGTAGCTCCTGCTGCCTATAAGGTTGCTATTCCGTAAGAAATAATTCCCCTGTAAATATATTCCTTTTCCTTGGGGAATATTGTGAATGAGGGTTTATTACAACAAATAGTGAAGTCAGCTTTTGTATCGTTCTCTCCAGCTGCCTGTTTAGAAATCCATCCGCAGAGTTTCTCTTAAGAGCTTTAACAGAATTATATCTGCGATGACTTTCCAAAGATCCGTCATCTTGAAGCACTCTGAAAAATATTATTATTGCCATTTTACAGGGGTATTGAGGCATAGAGATCCAAGTTGCCACCTTTCAAACACATACTGTATAATCCTGAGTTCAAAAGTATACTCACTATCAATTTTCGGTATTGATATGAAACGTATAATATTTTTTTGCACAAGAAATGTATAACTTTACAGACACTTCCTCTTAGTCTGTGCAACCACGTGTGCCCTGCCCTTTCACATCCCTTCTGGTTTGCTCTCCATCTTCCTCACCTGGGATGGAAGCACTGCGGGAGCCTTTGCTCGTGACCTCCTCGAAAGGACACAAGCTATTTCTTAGCAAGCCAGAGAGGAGAAAACTGCGAAGAGCTCACCAGAAAAAGGGCAGATGGTAGGGGTGGTGCTGAACAAGGAGTTTGGAGAGAGGAGAAGAAAGTGGCTCTTTCTGTGATTCGGTGTCACTTGGCATCTCTTGAGGCAGTAGTGCTTACAGGAGGCTTGAAGTGATTTCCAGCCAAGCGCTGCTGTTGTCATTATTCCAAATTTTCTGGGCATTTTAACAATACTTGCCTAGTGTGGTTGTGCACACTGCAGAAGTGAATTATGGGCACTTTTTTTATGCTGAAGCTACTTCTAGCAGTATTTTAGTAATGTACACTAGAATCAGTGTACCCTGAAGAAAATGTGGATTTTCTTCTTTCTTCCTTCTTCCACTTCCATGCAGGTACTTAGAGGGATATATAAGCCCATAGGAAGACAATATATTGTCATATTATGAAAGCGATGTGATCTAGTTAATATAAGACATGATGTGAGGAAATGCGAAATAATTCACCCCTAGGTACATCGTTAGACATAAAGCTGAGAATCATCCAAGCTGCTAGACAAATTCCAGGTCTAAGCAACTGTAGCATTGCTTTTTTATGTGGGAATAGACACTGGATTGCAAAAAAATGTATAAACCTTTGAAATTATTATATTTTGAATGATAGTCTTATTTCTTAAAGGATTACTTAAAATAGAAGGGGGGGGGGGGAAATCTTACAGCAATCTTGCTCCTTTGTTAGGTTGTAAAGACTGACCAGCCAGTGTGGTTCATGTCCAAAGCGCTACGTGTTGGCTACATTTGCAGGTCAAGACTCAACTGAATGTCAAGCCTATATACGTGATAGGAGGGTGCAAGTTTTATGTGCCTAAGCTGGGGAGGAGATTCAATGAACTGAATGAAGATTTGCATTAAATCTCATTCATACCAAGAATTCTCACTTCCCACATGTCTGGGTGCGATTGAGTATTATGCAGGGAAGAAGGAAAGCCAGTAAGCAGAAGAGAGGTAGTGGAGGAGTAATTCTTGGGTTGCCATCACAGCTTTCCAGAATAGTCACCCTGGTAAGGATAGCAGGTAGATTTTAGGTTTCCTGCGGAGCTCTAAGGGATCCGTGGTTTACCAGCCACGGACTCCAGGTGAACTGATTTGCAGATGCAGATGGGTGGAAGAGAGTCATTTTACTCCAGAACACGTGAAGGGGTTTTCATTATGCAGCCCCTCAAGGTGCTCCTTATTGTGAAAGTGCTTTTTCTCTTCTGGTCCAGTTGAGTGAGACCTATATGGGTGACCTGTTTTGAGATCAAACTGAAGGACGCCCTGAGAAAACATTTCTAGCATGAGTTAAATGTAGAGCTACAAACTTAGAATAACCCAGTTGCGCATCCTCCTTCAAGTCCACTTATCCAGGTCACACCTGTCCCATGGGCAGGGGGAAATCGGGCAGCACTTTAAAAGCCCTTCCCTTCTGTATCCTTCTGTCACTTCCACAGTCTGCTGCCGTGTTTTAAGACCTTGAAATGGGAGTTTAGAAAAGGAGCCAGGGAAAAGGACTGGCCGTAAATCATGCTTGGTGCTCACGGATGTTAAAGGCAGAGCAGTAATGCATCCGGTCCCATTCTGGATAGTTTTTTCATGCTTTATTCATTTTTTATGGTGGAGAATTCCCTACAGAATCATTTCTATAGGGTCAGCTGCTGGCTATCTGGGTCCATCAGCAGTATCAAAATCCCTCAGCTTGAACCCGTGTGCTTCCTCCATGTGGGATTTGACGTTTGAAGCCTACATGGCTTTTGGAGGATTTATATTGTTAGGTGTTACTGATTAACTTTACAAGTTCAACTAGTTAACTCACAGTTTCTTCTCCTCAAAAGATAACGGGAATTTATTGGGGTTTTTTCTCTTTACAGGCTGTTACCCAACTAGAGCTTTTTGGGGACATGTCCACTCCTCCTGATGTAACCTCTCCCCCGGTGAGTATCGAGGGAAACTGAACTGTGCATTTTTCTACATGCTATTTTCAGTGCATTTATTGAGCATATTAACAATTCAGGTCATCAGCCTTTCCAGTAGGGAGGATTTCAAAGTAGTTTTTATGTTGCAAGAGAATAAAAGTGAAGCAAATTGAATGTGGAGTCACTGCTTCATGATGACGTGCAAAAATATCTTCAATTTTTAATTTTCTGATATAGGGCTAGGTGTCACATAAGATAAAACCTGAGCTGCAGATCTCCTTCCCTGGTGTTTATTAGAGGTGCATGCTTCACTGCCCTCTGTCTCTCCACTGCGCTGCAGGAAGATACAGTTACAGCCTTAAATATTGTGTCTCTTTGGTTCCACCAAGCACATGTCCCGGAACTGCTGTTAAAGGAAGGAAGACACAACAGTAAAGACAGAGAGGGCTGAATGTGCAAAGAAAATTTTCTCAGTGTGCTTTTCTGCATCATAAAATGAAAAAAAAATAATCATTTTCCTATAAAGTTTCTGAACCTTACATTAAGCTGTAGGGGAGTACGAATATACTGAGAAAATTGAAGTCATCAGCCCCAGATCTCCAAGGTATTCTGAAGCATGTCTGGGACTAGATGTTCAAAGTCCTGTCTCCTCATCCTCAGCTTGCTCAGTTGGATTGGGTTTCTCCTTTCATATAGACCTATGGTTCTGGTCCTGTTGGTTAATCGGAAGCAATACTTACTTACTTTTCCATAAATCCTGCAGATACTTCATTTGCCTTTACTGTTTCTTAAGTTAATGCCTTGGTCACTGCCTCTGCTGGTTGTCACCTAACACCTAATATCACAAGTCTATATGTTCTGGAGAACGAAATGATGTCAATATTTTCCATGTGACGTGTTCCAGGCAAATTGTTTGGGTTTTTTTTTCCTCTGGTACAACATCTCTCATTTTCTTTTTCTTCTGTCTCCAGCAAATTCTAATACTCTTACTGCTATTGCTTCTTTCCTTCTACATCTTTCCATTCTTTTTTCTTTCTCTTTCTTCCTTCCAAACCTGTATCTTTTAGAGTTACAGATGATGTGACAGCAAAGTATGTGCTGCAGAAGCTGCAGCTGATATGTCATCATTGTATTTTCTTCTTGTCTTCTTGCAGACTCCTGCTACTCCAGGTGATGCCTTTATCCCTTCTTCATCCCAGTCACTCCCTGCTAGTACAGACATGTTTGGTTCTGTACCTTTCAGCACTGCTGCCGTACCCTCAGGTGAGCAATCTACTGGAAATATAGGCTCGATTCAAATGTGGTGATCAATTCTCAGCTCCGGTTTGCATTTCAGTACTAAGGGGTTTAATTTAGTACAGTGGAAGTGAGGAAGAATTTTGAGGAGATTGCCGCAGGGCAAGGCAAAACAAGTCTTTAACAAGTAGGGAGTACATTATTTTGAATTTACCCACATTTTTTAAAACAACAGCCAAAGAAGTCATTGGGAGTTCAACCCTAGTTCAGCCATCTGGATAACATACCTTCTAGGTACAGTAGCAAGAGAGAAAAAAGCATTTAGTTTAGCTTTGCTTTCTTCGCGGTAGCAATGAATATCTTGTGCTGTCTCCAGTAAACAGAGAATGAGACATGGAGATTTTGCTTGAATTGCAGAGGGTTTCCACTTAGTCAAATCCTGTTATTTCCTTTAGACTTTTCTGTGTTCCTCAAAGTGCTCAAAATTCTAAAGCTGTGTAGCATTCTGCACAGACACGCAAGGCACATGGGTCTGGCTGCTGATCTCTCCCCGGGATACTCGGAGCACTGCAAGAGCAGCGCACTCAGGTCTACTTAGGGAAAAAACAGAGGAGGGAGTGCCTTGAATCATTCAACAGCGACTTTCTAATTGTGCCAATCCTTCTCTGATGGGCTGCGTTGCAGCATCAGATTAGCCCCTGCATCTCAGAAGGGTTGCGCTGATGGTGAAGTGTTTGGGGATAATGTCAAGATGAAAACCCCCGCTGCTTGGATGAGGTTACAGTGGGGGCAAGATAAAAGGACATCTGGAGAATCCAACACAGCTACCTATTGAAATAGATATGTATCTGAGTTACTGTTCCTTTCATCAGTCAGTCATTTGGTCTTTCAAAGTTCAGTTTTTGTTATTTTATTTTATTTTATTTTGGGCTTTTCCCTTTACAATCTTGCAACCACACTTAGCATTACACACTTAGCATTACAAAACAGCCTAGAAATAAAGCGAAGGGGGAAAGGTACAGGAGGACTCAGAAAAACGCAGGTTAGGAACAGGAGTTTTAAAGCTGCAACAGTATTAAAAGTAAAGAAGAGGTTGCATATTGTAAAATATTAGCAGTAAATCAATTTAAATATGAAATGGCATATCTGTAAAGCATAATACTTCTATCAGTGGAACATAATTGTATTACATGGTTTAATTTGTAACATTTTTTACAGTAGTTTTAGTTTCAGATTTTTTTTTTCATTGTAAATAACAAAGCACCTGATCATATAATTCCTACTCAGTCAAACTTTTGGTAGCTTGAAAAGAGGGTTCAGGTCTGACAGGAAGCAATTATAGTCTTTTAGTTTTAATCTTTAATTTCCTCCCTGACTAGAGAGGTTCTGTGCTGGCATAATACCTGAAGCTGGTTGTTGTTACTGGGTATATAGTACAGGAGACACTCAGGACCTTTTTGATATTCCCCAAGTATTTGTTGAGTGATGTGAATTCCACCATGTCTTGCAGTTTTCTTTTGAAGTGTGCTGAAGCTCTGGGAACACGAATGTGGCCCGCGTGTTTCTGATTCATCGTGTAGCTTTTTCTGCGTGCTCTTGACAGTAGTGTTAAAATCTTTCATATTTTCTCTTTTTTTTTTTCCCCTGCTCTCTTTATTCTTTGAAGGTTATGTTGCCATGGGAGCTGTTCTGCCCTCATTCTGGGGACAGCAACCACTTGTTCAACAGCAGTTGGCCATGGGTGCTCAGCCTCCAGTTGCTCAGGTGATGCAGGGAGGACAGCCGATAGCGTGGGGCCAACCCGGTATTTTTCCTCCTACTCAGCAACCGTGGCCATCTGTAGCTGGTCAGTTCCAACCAACTGCCTTCATGCCAACACAAACTGTTTTGCCTTTACAAGCAGCCATGTTTCAAGGTACCATTGCTCCTATAGCTACTGTTCCACCCACAAGTGATTCCAACAGATCAAGTCCACAGACAGACAGGCCCAGACAGAAAATGGGAAAAGAAATGTTTAAAGATTTCCAGATGGCTCAGCCTCCACCAGTGCCATCAAGAAAACCAGATCAGCCTTCCCTCAGTTGTACCTCAGAGGCCTTCTCAAGTTACTTTAACAAAGTTGGGATGGCACAGGAAGCAGACGATTGTGATGACTTTGACATCTCTCAGTTAAATTTGACTCCTGTGACTTCCACGACACCATCTACAAATTCACGTGAGTATCTATATGCTCTCAGCCGTACCTTTCCTCAGACGTGACTGCTCCTCAAAGCATTTCTTTTTTCTTTTTTTCTCATACAGTAAATTGCAACACAGATATGGACTGAGAACCTTCATGCATGGTCTAGCTTATTAAATGTGTTCCGGCCATAAAGAAAAAAGTATCAGAGAGGAATTTCAGAGACCATTGAAATCAACAGCCCCGATAGCTGCAGGCTGAAATTTAATTTCTAGTAAATGTTCTGTGCTAGGGACGTGCAAGCTGGTTGGAAAATGCCCATGACATTCAACCTTACAAATGGTTTCACTTATGTCCCATTCATCCCATGCTTTGCAGAAATTAAGGGATGGGTATTCATTTTAATAGCTTGATGTATTGGACATGTGAGGAAATTCATTGAAGAGCTGTAAAATAAGCTAGTCCTGTTCGTAGCATGGAGGTGGGGGATTTTGCAGATTGCTGCAAAGAGGGATTCATGAGACACAGATTTACCAGGGGCCAGCCGGAGACCTTCTGTTTCGCCTGCCTTCCATAGGGCCGGTGGCTCATGTATTCTTAATGTAATGTCGTGGCGTCTCCTTGGTTCCTGAAGACATATGCCAGATGCAGGCAAACTTAATTTGGAAACTGCTGAATGAAATCAAATATATGGAATTGATAATGACTGCTGTGTACAAATTTACCTCTTACAGCTCCTCGTCAGAAAATAATTTTCAGGGGTAATAGAAGTTGAGGGCTCTAAAGCATGAGCAAATTTTGTGCTGCTGTGTCTTTCTGAACAAATTAACAGATACATATTCTGTTGCTGTTACCTTAATCTTTGTTTAGCTCCAACCCCTGCACCCAGACAGAGTTCTCCATCAAAATCATCAGCATCCCATACCAGTGATCCTGCTGCAGATGACCTCTTTGAAGAGGGGTTTGAAAGCCCAAGCAAAAGTGAGGAGCAAGAAGCTGTGAGTAGAAACAAGGTTTCTAAATACTGATTAGCTCTTTTTAGCTAGAAAAGACAGAAGTTACATAAATATTGTTTGGTAGTGTCAGAAATAACTATTCTGGTAGGGCTGGGGGATATATAAGGGGGAGCTGCAGACAGTATTCACTTCCCGGTTCAGTTTTGACAGCTAAGAGCATGACATTTCTGTTGATATGCACTAATATTGCATACAAGGAACCGAACTCAAGAGTTCATATGTAAGGTTATATATGTTAGTTGTATCCAATTGCCTTTTTAGCATACCAGCATTCACTTATTGATGGTAAGGAAGTCCAAGGTACAACAACATACATGCTGAGGCTGCAGAAAGAGATGTGAGACTTTGTGTGTTAAAAGATGATGGTTGATGTTGTCTTGCACATTCTTGCATCACAGTTGCTTGCCTAGTTACATTCCTCAATGTTCTGGCCCTCAGTATGTGATTTCTTTGCCTTAGACTCAGTGGACCAAAGCAAGAAATGTTATCCAAGCAATGACTTTAAATCACAAGGTATCTTAGGCAGCTAAGAGCCCAGAAGTGAGCCACAGGCAAAAGGGAGTCTGTACAAAAAAAGGACCCAAAGGTACAAAATAACGCAAGCTTGGGCTCTTTCTGAATTCACATAGATTGACTGGCTTTCCGGGCCTTTTGCAGTTCTGGTTTGTCCTATCCAGTACCTTCTGAGGTCTGCGGCAGCTCCTGCGTGGGCTCCAGCAGGTACCGGTGAGGTCCTTCCCTGCCTGCATCAGCTATAGGAAACCATTGTGGCTTTTGAGAACATATCAGCGGTGAGGTCTCACTTTCTGGTTTTCATGAGATAGGATGTACTTGTTATGCCCACAGCATGAAAATAACCTCGTGTTGACTTTTTCACTTTCTATTGTTGAGAAAAAAAGGTGTTATGTTCTTGTATTCTAGCCTGATGGGTCTCAGGCCTCATCCAACAGTGATCCATTTGGTGAGCCAACTGGTGATACTATAAGTCCACAGGTCGGTAGCTAGATAGCACAGGTTGGGGTAGGTATCTGTCCTTTTTTTCTCTACACCTTGAGGTGCTCACTTATTCTTCCACCAGTGCCTACCATTGCTTTCATGGATGCATGGTTTGTTTTTCCTTTTCATCTCTTCCGTTTTCCCTCTCCATTCTCCACAGTGTATTCCTCACGCTCAGCGGTTTGCATGGCTTTTGCCATTCACTAAGTGTTGCAACTTATGCAAATATGTGTGTTTCGGCTGCCTGCATGCTTTAAAGAAATGTAGACTTATTTTACTTTGTGTTCAAATTCTAAGGGGAAATAGGGAAACTGAGCCATTGCTAACAGCGTACTAGGCAGAACGTTTGTTTTATCAGATATCCACTCTGGCCTTTAGTCAGATGTAACATATGAAATGGAGTAAGACATCTTACCCATAGACATAACAAACATTAAATAAAATTATGTGATGATACACGAACACCTCTACCCTAAATCAGTGTGATAATCAGTAGAAGCAGCACGTTTATTATCTGCATGTAAAAAATAGTGAAATGGGTTTGTGTATTTTTATCTCCAACTGCAAATTAAAAACATCTGAAAATTATGATCATTCATATTACCATTGGCATACTGATGTTTTAAAAATTATTCATCAAATGTAAGTAATGTAAATCCAGACAGACGGGAAAGATGATCTTTTCATCTTTTGTGTTACAGAACGCGTTAGAAAACGTGGCTGCCAGTGAATGTTTTGTGATTTGTTTCAATACAGTGTATAGGTTTTACCAAGAAGACAGTACAAAGTTTTATGAGTGTTGAGCATTGTTATTCCATCCAAATACTCTCTAGTGTTACTATTTGAAGGATATGTTTCATTATCTTCTCCATGTCTGCCATTCATGTTTTGTATTACCCAAATGCGTGATCTGATGCGGCTTCTGTGCTTCAGCACAGAGCTCCTGGAGCAAATCCATAACAATGGTAGAACCCTTCTTATTTTCGTACAGAAATTGCAGTGTATTTACCAGTGACTTATCCACCCTGAGCCGAAATAATTTGGTTTCAAATCAAAATTAATAGTTTCATTAGGAGTCAGTTTACTTTGTACATTAAATATGGTTAAAAAAGATCTTACAGTAACTTAGCTTCGATCCACTTGGGAGTAATAAGATTATCTCTTAATAATATGTGGTGCTGTGAGAAGGCATCTCCCCCTTCTTTAGCTTCACCAACGAAATGCTCAGCTCTTGGGGGCTAAAGCAAAAGTAGCATTAAGCTTTGTGTCTCACTGGGTCTAAAAATGACAGTGTAAGGACAGAGGCAAGCTGGGATGAGCTGCTCCAGCGAGAGCGCGTGTTGGTTATTGTACCCCAGCGAGAACTGCTGCTGCACATTGATGGTGCCACACAGTAATTTGGCTTTGCCTTTGCCTTTGCCTGACCTCGGCCAGCGCTGGCACCGCTGGCCGTCCCAGCTTCAGACCGTTTCAAGAGTTCTTTCCTAGATCAAGAAAGAGAATTTGACCTTTATCTGAGTCCCACACTCTGCAAACCCATATACATTTGTTTATTACGGTTTATCGTAGTCAGGGTAATTCTGAAATTCATTACGGGGAGAATGATGATAAAAATATCTTTCTAATTTTCTGACTGTCACAAAGATAGTTAGCATCATTTGTAAACTAGCATCACACATGTTTACCTACCAGGAGTTCTGGAGATAACTTGAAACAGCAGTGTAAGTCTATTAATGCATATTACCCTGTAAGGCAGCCAAGTGAGGGACTCCTTTTGTTCTATATAACACTTTTGTTTTATATAATGCTTAGTAAAATACTTGTCAAGGGTCTTTGGGAACTACCAGAACAGTGTATTACCAGTGATTCCGTATGTTTTTTCCTATTTTTTTTCCTTGGTCCTTGTAGAGTCTTGCATAAAATATGTATAATTCTCAGAAATACATTCTGGGAAATGTTAAGTAATGTTACTGATTATCTTATTATAGTAATTCCTAAAAGCTGTAGGCAGGAACAGGAAGCTGAACAAAAAGAAAGGCTCTATCCAAGAAGTTACGCTAATGTCTTTGTGCCTCTGCACAGTGCCATTCAGCAGCAGTCCGTAGGAAATCCACTTGCTAAAACCAGCCCGTCTAATTCTGAAGCCTGGTATCGTCAGAGCAACGGAAAGTCTGATCTCCATGGAAAATTATCAATTCAGGACTTACTACTGTGTTATGTATTCAGCTCCGCATTTGGAGGGAAACTTAATGGGGAGAAACATGTAGTACAAAGGAATCACAAAATGCACAAAAGCCACTTTTGTGTGTTAGATGGGAGATTACTTCGCTCTTTAGAACATGGTTCTTCACACCAAGAACAGCACAGTATACAACTCGGATGAATGGACCTCTCAGGAGCATGGCATAGTGTTGTGTTCAGAGATTTCAGATACATCTGTTCCCAGCATCTCTGTGAAATCAGCTGTGGCCATATAATATCTTTCCTTACCTTGTCTTGATGTATTCAGAATGCTCACCTGCCTAGTGTTTTGTATCTTGATCTTTCAAGGTACCTCAACAATTTGGTTTCTTGATTCCTTCTGATACTTGGTATTCTCATGTAGAAATAATTCAGCCTCTTTCAGTTACTATCGTCATTTCTCCATTTTTCCTCTCTTCCTTTTGAGATCTTCAGCTTAAGCTCTCAAAACCCTCATCTTACCAGTAGCTGTCACTCTGCTACAAATAGCTATGGGTTCTTCGTAGGTAAATGTGATGTTTTATGGATATGTTACATTTTTGTCCCTTTATGGTTGGAAACAAGCAGCAGACAGGCCTAACTTTCACAGGTGAAATAAAATGAACTATTTGCAGAGCTATTCATAGCAAGGTTTGTATTCAGTTGTTTTCCCTTTGTTCATGGGCAGCGTTCAGGATGGATAGTGATTTTCCAGAAGGGGTGAGGAGAATACTGAATAATAGGAGTACCATCTTCAGCTGACATACATTTGATCCCTACTGCTGTCTTTAGACATTGTGCAGGGGATAACTGTGGTGAAAGGAGAGAGAGAGAAAGAACTGTATTTAGCTATGATTCTACCGAATGTGTTAAACATTTCTTCTTATGGACATTTTGGATTAAAGCAATAAGTTGAAACAGAGGAGTTTTCGCCTGGTCCTCCTCTTTGCACCAGTGCACCCCATCAGCCTGAATTACGGGGTGTTAGGTGCAGACCCTGCCGGTGCGGGTATTTCTGTTCTCAGGGGTATTTCAGCCTCGGCAATGGGTGTAGCACGCCGTGACACTAGGCAGCCTTGGAGCTACACAATTGAAAGCTTAGCAAAGGCTGCAGAAAGGGGAGCCATCAAGCTTCTTTGGATGCCTGTGGTTGTGTTGGCCTGCATCTCCTAGCAAAGCATCCTGATTGTGGAAAGAATAAACTCAGCCTGAATACTGGGATCAGATACCACAAACATGGTCTAACTCCGTATGGACCACACTTACTGGTTCTTGAAGGCAAATTAGCAACAGGGTAAAACTTCTGAAAGAGAATAAGGGGATATTTGATACTACAATTATTGCAATAAAATCCTTTTTAAATGCTGGAACAAATGCAGCTCTATTTGATAGGCTGCCCAGTTCAAGACTTGCACTGGCAGTCTTTCATGAGAGATTCTCAGGAAGCCTTCAAAACATTTGTGGCTAGAGCAGATCTTCCTCAAAAAGTTGTTTAGTTGTTCTGTGAAATGTGTGCAGACAATTATAAGCCCTCGAAATATGTCACACCCTTCATGATGCTATCAGCACTGTCAGGAGAGCAACAGTTCATTAGAATATTTGTCTATCAGCTTTTGGTGGTACTTTGGTGGCCCGCTGCCATCATCCATCGTTGAGCGAGTGCCATTCTTGGTGATAAATGTTCCTAATAATCTTAGTCAGCTCCAGGGTGGACTACTATAACTCTTTATTTGGGCTGTTATTAGGAAGTTGAAAAAAAATAGCAACTTATGGACAAAACATTGGCTTATCTGGGAGCTTGGTGAGCCTCAGGAGGGCATATTAAGCTGATTCTGCGATGTCCTCTTCCTTTCTGTCCACTTTCTGTTGCGCAAAGAATCTGAATGGGCTCAAAATATTCACAGGGTCTGTTACCATCGTTCGTCCAGTTCAATAGGAACTGAAAAGAGTCCAAAGAGAAATTCATAATAATTATAGGTGACCTATTCTTACCGTAAGCTCTAGAGCTATCGTTCTCAGCACAGAGCAGGGTTGTGAACCTGAGAGAGAAGCAGAAGATAGAGTTGGGCATTTGGATAGAGAACACAGTTTGGGAAGTACTGCTTCATTCCAGAGTAATCCTAAAATTGTCATTTCAGCCCCCATGCTCCTTTGTTCATCATCGTATTTCCCAGACAATCTGAAGGGACAAGACCAGAGAAATCCAGGCTGCTCTGTGAACAGAGGCATCCTACAGATTCGCCTTCCTCCCCTCTGCTAAAATCCCCTTTGAGCTACCCATTTTAACACGACCAGCTCATACACAGGTTTCTCACCTCTCGGAGCCCACTTGAAGTAGCCAGGTACCCTTCCATTTCTCCAACTTCTTCCTCTAAACAAGAGACAACATAGTATGTAGCTTGCGTAGAGCCGTGTACTTGCTGATTGGCAATCCAGCAATTCAATTAGGAGCCAAGCTCTCCTAGCTTTCTCTGTAATGAGGTCGTTTAAAAGATCCCTGTCTTCTGCACAACAACTGATTTAAAAAAGGCACTTGCAATAATTTAGTATATTTGAGACTTCTGAACAATTTGCTTCAAATTGGCCATTGGGTTCAAAAGTTATGAAGGAGAATTGACAGATAGGTAGATGGAAAGTATAATTGTGTGGCTACCGTTGTGTTAGGAAGAGGACCCAGGAATAATAGGTGAGTTTCTTAGCTGAAGGGACCAGGATGGAGCAGGGTTCATCTTTCTGAGTAGTTCTCATTGCTTTTTCATTTTATGGATGTATAGCATCCATCTGGATAC